TTCCGCCATCTTTGGAGGGGTGTAGCTCCTTAGGGGAGCCGAAGTCGCCCATGGTTCATATATCAAAGTACCCTTAAAATTCACTAAAGAATCACCCCTTGAAGTTTGTTGCAGTCATTCAGATACACCCTGTATAAAAATACATAACATAAGTCCATATATCCAATTTAATTAAATAATACTTAAAACTTTGTTTTTAATCATACAAACTTGTAACTTCATTATAATATATTTTGTTTGTTAATTTTGTAGGTTCTAATTATACTGAGGAAGGGCTTGTGCCCGAAACTAGTTTAGAGAAATAAACATTTAAAAAAGTCATCACCAGAGTATAATTTATTTTTTGATCCTTCATATTATAAGTAAAAAAATATGTTGACTTTCATAAAAATTTTTGGTACCTAGCTTCTTTCGTTTTCGAGTTATTTTGATTTTAATTTTTTTTTGGCAAATTTCACCATGCTCTTTAAAACCCCATATCCCAGCCAACGTTCATTCAAAGAAGCTCTAAATTGGCACGATTACTCTTCAGATGTTATTATATAGATTATCATTTATTGTATCGGAGTATCTTATACACGTGGTCAAAAATTGAATTACCGTTTCTCCATGTTCAACCGCAAGAAAGTCGAAAATTTTAAATGGAACGCCCCATATTTTATTAGCCTACCCGAAAGGGAATTTAATTCTCTACAATTTATCTATAAACATTTTTATACCTATTTATTGTAGTTTCTGTCATATTCGGAAATTTATCAAATCATGCAGGAAACCGTTCGTATTGTTATTAGAAGACCATGATATTTTGATAGTTTGTCCTTTAATTTATTTCTATTATTATTTGTACTAGCTAGTAATCTTTTAGTTTACTAGCTTTTACTTACCAAAAATAACAAACAGAAGATCAAATAAATGAAACAATTAAAACAAAAAATTAATAACAAAAATTAGATTTGGATAAAAATATAAATATATAATATAAATTTGTTATTAAATTGAATTTGGAAATGCAATAAAATACAATAAAATATTTATTTCGTTGTCTTCATCACTGGTGACCGGAAATATGCGGTTTCTTTTGGTCTCGATATGTAACTATGAAAATCTTTATTAATTTTTCCTTGTGATGGGCGTTATGTTTGTTAGGCATTTCTCATTAAGAGTTCGACACGTCCTGTCCAAAAGTTTACTACATTCCTGATCAATACAAAATCAAATTGCTTTTGTTACTAGTTCTAATGTTGCATAAATTTTGTTTAATTGTAAAATAAAATTTTTATTTCAAAAAAATGACCATGTTTTTCAACATAAAAGTTGATTTTTCTAGAAAACGGCCAACTTTAGAGCTCATGACCTATAGTACCTTTTTTGTGTAGAAAACATTGACGGTTCAAATGGGCGTCTCAAAACCGTACTTTTTCCAGTGGCGTAGAAGTTGGGGAGAAAACCAACCACTACCCCAAGGTCAAAATCTTCACCAATTATGACTTTAAAAAAATTTTTTCTCGCACAAAACTTAGCTTCTTATAAGTTGAAAATGCTTACAAACGCTGTTTTCTGTACGATAAACGGTTCTGGAGATATTCGCAAAAAACGATTTTTTTTATTAAATTTCAACATCCTGTATCTCGAAAATGGTGCATTTAGAAGGTAATTGATAGAAATTTTTTCAAATTTTTGGATAAGATATCACATCCTGAAGTCCTGCGCATATGTTATGAAACAACCTGTATAATTATACATATACAGGATAATTCAAATTCGACCCCCACCATTGGGTTCTCAGAAACCATAAGATATACAGAAATGGTTAAATGGGGGCAAAGTTGCGTATCTTAGAGCTCATCATTTTTCAACAAAGTTTTTGGATCTAGCTGTTTTACTTTTTAAAATATTGCCGAAAAACAAAAAAATTGCTTTTTCGGTTTTTGCCTATAACTTTTTTATTTTTCGTTTATTCGATTTTCACATCAAAAAATAGGATAATTAATTCTGATGTCACACAATGTATTTCATTTAATAAAAAAGAATATCTTATTAGGAGGCTGTAACTTGTGCGCTAAGTGTTTCCATTTAATTTCTAGTTGTATCATGACATTTTTCATAAAAAGTTGCCTTAAGAATGTTTTTTCAGATTCACGAAAAAAACGAAAAATAAAGAAGGCCTATAACTTCTTCTCTCTCAAAAAACGAAAAAGTTATTATTACTGTATATAAAATATACAGGTGTGTCAAATGTCTGGAATATAGCCAATAACTTCGTCATTTGTGGTTTTAAATAAAAATGTTTCAAATACAGGTTTCTTTATTAATCATGGCGCATTTTTTTGGCAATATTTACTTGTTTGCACTGTTTTTTGTTACGTAGCTATGTTAACCAACATTATTATTTTAAATAGGATGCATATATTTTTTTTGCATACTTCTATAAACGATATTTTATGCGATGAACATATCAAATCATATGGTTGCGTTTTTTGAAAGTATTAAATCAGCTAATTACAATTAAAGTAGGCGCCGAAATAACGACGTTGACAAGTTTAAATGTTAAAAAATTGATAGTTTAAACAAATATGGCGCAATTAAGGGAACGACAAAGAATCCAAATATTAATAATCTATGGGTACGGTGATAGAAAACGCACTCAAAGTGAAGTTTGGTTATTTCGACGCCTACTTTGATTGTAATTTGCTGATTTGATATTTTCAGAGAACGCATTTTATCTCGATTTTTGTGTTATACAACCATATGATTTGATATGTTCATCGCGTAGAGAGATTTATTCTCTATTAAAATGTGCAAAAAAAACATATGCATCCCATTTAAAATAACAATGTTGGTTGCCATAGCAACGAAACAAAGAACAATGTAAACAAGCAAGTATCGTCAAAAAATACGCCACAATTAATAAAGAATTTTTTTGTTTGAAACATTTTTCTTTAAAACCACAAATGGCGAAGTCATTGGCTATATTCCAGACATATGACACACCCTGTATATAGTTTAAGTATGGGAATCGAGAAATACTAAAAGCACATTCCTACAGTACTGAATATAAAATTGGAAATCACGTTTCCGCTTCCATTTTGCATAATTATTTTCTTCATATGATATCCCAGTAAGTCAAATTTTCTAAATTACCATGTAAAAGTGTTGAACATACAAAAGATGCTGTTTTTTAGCAAGTCTCCAACCAGTCTGTCAATATACTTTTTCGACTATTTTTCTAAAACCTATAAAATATATCGTCGAACCTTTGCCAGGCATCAAAATCAGAAATTTTCAGCTCCAGTGCTCGCGTACCAAAAACATGGGAAGATATGCGCAACCCGAAAATTTTTTGATGATTCAGATGGTTCGTTGACCATAGATTTCTCTGTTTGTCAAATGTCTGCACATACCTTAATCATTTTGACAACATATGCGGTCGGTATACAAGAAACTCCGCCCAACAAAGCTCCTTCTAGCACAAAACAATCCGAAACATAAAATTCGTCGATTTTGTATACAACGACGATGCTTACTCTAATTAAACAGATATGGAAATATTACTTTTTGAACTCATAGCATCTAGATACCTATTTCCCGCACAGAGAGGACGTGCGGGAAACGCGTTTTCCTGCACAAATGCTTTTTGTTACCGCAACTAACAAGAATATTTAATGACCAAATGTGCATGTTTATAAGAAAAGGTTAATAAGAACGTTTTATACCTTCGAGTGCAGATAACACAGTTTTAAAATATTTAAAAAAATCTATAAAAATCAATTTGCAATCAATAAAATCAATATTGACGTTTCGAATTTCGGTTGATTTTTTCCTGTCAAAAACCCCACATGCAACTCATATCGTCACACAGGGACGTTTTATTCGTTACAAAAAATATTGTACAATACTCATGCGGAAAGTATTTTTTCGCACGCAAATGCAGCACTCACTCCCTTCGGTCGTTTGTTCTGCAAACTAGCATGCTCATGTGAAAAGAGAGCCTTTCCGCATTTGTATCGTAAATAACTATTACAAAAGCAAAGTAAGAATCTGAAATTCATTGTTATAAGAATTTTGGGTTTATAGGATCTAAGGAATGTAAACGTCGAATGAGCAAAACGTTTATTCTCGATCTTCTAGGATAATTATGTCGGCATCAGTTCTTTAAAAAACTATAAAGATTGCTAGTTCTTTTTCCTAAAAAGTTTGTTATTCAAAATTTTGAACAACTCATGACTAATCTTCTGTCATAATTTGTATTTTCATTTCAATAACTGTTACTTTGAGTTGTGAAATCATTCAGTCACAGACTTGTCAATTATGTTCTGAAAATATTGCAAACACAAGCTTGAAATAGCAGCTTGATATCAATCTAATCCATATTTTTTATTATAGCAAGTGCAAGAAAATAGATCTAAAGTTATCGCGAAATCAGTCTTGGATTTCTAAATGAATTTAAGTTTTTTCTGAAAAGAGAATCTCAATCGAAATTTGAATTCATTCAAAAACTCAATCTGATGCGACGTTTCTGTTATGAGTAAGAATTAATCCCGTGTCACCGGAATTTCGCTCAAGAATATTTTACCATTTAATTGAAGGACATTTATGAAACCTATTATTACTTATTATATTTTCTTGACGTTTTTTAAATGAAATGTCGTCTTAAACATCAAAATGATACGCTATTTTTACGGTTATTTTTTAATTAATTTTCACTTATTTTAAACGTTTTATTTTTTTAATAACTTTTATCATAGTTATAATTAGATCATTGATTAAGTATAATAAAAAAGTCACTTGATTAAAATCCTTTAAAATGATAACCTAACAATAAATTCCTAATAATATAATTGAGGTATGATTATTTTTAGTTATCACCTGCCAATTATATGAACCCAATTTATATCTTGCATTTTAAAATAATCAGAATAATTTTATAATTATTAATATTTGAAGGCTGCGAAATTATAGCATCCTATATAAATAACTATTTTATAAAAAAAAAGCCTTACCATTTCTTCAAATACAAAATCAACATCAGTTACATAAGGTTCAGGAATTGCTACAGAATCTCCAATTATAACCCCTTTTCCTTCTGCTATATTATAAACAGTAACAACAACACAACTTCCAACATTATCCACCATACAAAAGGTACTAAAAAAAATTACACACTCAAAAAAATCAAACTTATTAATTCTTTTTCTTACAAAGGTACAGTATCTTCGTTATGCACCGAACATACAACTTTACCCAAAATGACTTTTTCTTCATTTAAACCAGGTTGGAGATCGTTTAATTTCACTTCATTCAATTTAACAGTCGCCCCGGTGACAGTAGATGTGTAGCTACCTCCAGAAAAAGGGCCCAATTGCTTTGATTCATTAATTGATTGAAGTAATTGTTGAAGTTTTTTTAATTTCATTTTACCAGATGTTTTTGTCAACTCATTAACATCTTTTAAATATTTCACTAATTGCTTTTGCTTTATTTTTGGAGGATCCCACGTAGGATCGTACAAAGAAGATTCGTTAAACGATTCCAAAGCTAATTTAAATTCTTCTTCATATTTTAAAGTCTAAAAATTAATTTGTTATAATAATAATTACTTATTTTAATTTGGGGTATAAAAAAATCTTACTATTGCTTTATTATAATGTAAATCCGGCATGCTTTTAGCTACAATGTCTTTTTCAGCTTGATTGTAAGCACTTAAACATTGTTTTAATGTTTTCGGATTCTGTGTAATTCCAAAAAATGATGCTAAATGGGCATTTGCTAGTACAGCCCATGAAGTACCATCATGTGGATCGATTTGTACAGCTTCTTTAGCGTAATTTAGACCCTTTTCAATGTTTTTTATACGTTCTTCTTGGGTGTTAAAACTATTTTGACGTGCTAACATTGATAAATTTCTTAAAGCTATTTTATTTTTTCCCTAATAATAATAAATGTTAAAGGAAAATTAACACTTAAAAAGTAACTCACTAATGATAGAGCTTTATTAAAACAATTTGTGGCCTCTTTTAAGTTATCGTTTTTCCAATAACACTCCCCCAATTCATTCCAAGCGTTAACCAATTTCGGATTTAATTTGAGACATTTTGATAAATTTTCTTCCACTTTCCTATCGTATTTTGGCACGACATTTAACGCTTTACCAAGTAAATAATAATAATTAGCACGCGTTGTATTATCTAAACAGTCTTTGTATTCATCGAAGACGGGAACGATTTTATTTAATTCTACTTCGACATCGTGCGTTTTATTGACGGACTCCTTTAGGTCGTGCGTTTCAAAGTAATGATCTCTAAAATGATATAAAGCACCCACCCTATCCTAAATAGAAAGGGATTTATCAATTTTTAAACCTAAATTGAAACGATTTTTGTGTGGGTGGAACACCTGTTCAATTTATCGAGTACTTACGCTAAGATCTTTTAAGATATCACCAGATTTATTTTCCGTGCAATCACCGTTTACGTTACCATCGTCTTTCGTGCTCATTTTGTGCGATTATATCGAAAATAACTACATTACTTTTTGTGTTTTGAGAGATTGCACTGAATTTTGTTAGGTTATGTTGACGTTTTAATTGACATATTGTTAATTCATAATAGTGACATCTATGAGTGACAAGATTAGATTAATTTTTTTTGAAAAAATGAGTCGTTTTTAAAGAATTAATGTAAAATTATGTTTCGAATACGATATTTAATTAAAATATTGATGAGTGATGATGAATTTTGGTACAATTAAGAATGGAGTTGAAGAAAATGAGGTTAATTGTATTTATTGAATTGATGTTTGTCGGTGTTAAATAATAGATGGCGCTTATAATCAAAGTGAATATTTTCTATAAACCCACAACTTTCCTGGATTTTCTCTTGAGCGCAAGTCCATCTGCGCAGAACACACACACATTCAGTGTCTGTTTGCTGCATTGTTGTGGTTCGTTCCACTAAAAAATCGTCGAATTCGATCGCAAAGAGGGCCCCAAGTTTAAGTGAATCCATCCTAAAACGATATTAAATTGCCGTACGTTGAAAACAGAACGTGTCGAGAAGATGTTGTCGCGATTCAGTTAAAATTTAGTGCTGTGGGTGCAGTTTCTTGCCGTTTTTTTATCCCGACACACTATGGAGTACACGGAGTAGTAGTAGTGTAGTGACCTGTATTGGCCCCCTCCGTTGAAGAACTTCCGTAACAACCAAGAAACGGATTAATTTCAAACGAAACAAGAGGAAAAAGGAAAAAGAAAAAACCCACAACAGATTTCCGCGTTTTTCTTTTTCTAGGATGACTTCTAGGCACATTCCCGCCGATAAGGTAAGAAAGGGGGCCTTAAATTTAGGTTTAAAAACCGCACCCTACATCTCACTTTATAACTCTATAAGTATACTTTAATCCTTCTGCTAGAAGACGTTACACGAAGTCGACCTACTTAAGTTCAACCCTCACAAAAGAATTGAAAATTCAGTTTAATTTCTCTTCACAGTTTTCTTTTTGTGTCTTTGTAGGAGGATTGCAAAGATACAAAAACAAACACGGTGTTTTTGTGTTTTAAATTAGATATATTTATTGTATAATTAATTAAAAGAAAAAAATTAATTAGAATCATTTCATGAAGGTGTACTTTACGTGTTTCAATCAAAAGACCATCTTCAGAAGCATAATTTAACACCATCAAAAGAATTAAGAATTTGGTTAGGATCCAATACAAAGAAATTGTTACATTCTCTTTTTTAAAGTCTTTGTGCAAAGTTATGTTGTAGTTTTCATTAAGATTTATGTTTTATTCACAACATCAATGGAAGAAAAAGAAATGTTTTGTTTTTACAAACGAATTATTAAAGTTAATTATCAGATAATTAAGGTAAGTACACAACAATAATGAGATAAAACGTTTACAACCTCTATTACTTTCTAATCTTCGCAATGAGTCATTTTTGCTTGTATTTTTGGCAATATCAAACGTGCTATTTATTAATGCAACAACAACGAATTATTTATTATTATTGATTTTTCAATTTATACAGGGCGATTAAGTGCAAAGTTTGCAGAAATGTGCTTACTTTTAATCCATCAACATTGAGTTTTGACAAGCTGAGATTCGAGGACTAATGATGTAACAAAGTAATGATTCAACCCTCTCAAAAGATAATTTCAAAACATATCAATCATTGTTTTTGATATAAATTTTGCTTTTCTGATGTGTCCCTTTCATAAAGCTCCACCTCCACCTTGAAATACGTCCACAAGAAAAGTTGCAGCGGTTCAAAATTTGTTGAAATCATCAATTAACAGCTTCCTCTAAAGAGATTTAGTCAATTGGTGAACATTACTTACAAGATAGCTTGGGAAAATGGTCCGTATGGATTGACCCCATTATCGTTACGATAGTTTTAGAGCCTATACATAGATGTTCTTTTTCTTTTATGTCTATTCTTTGACATGATGCTTCAATGTTAGTTTACGGAAAAGCTTCTTATGACCTCTATACTCTTTCAAGAATAGTGTAGGCGCTTCCGGCAAATAATAGCAGGAAAGATAGTGTTCAATTTCCGCATTGAGCGTACGAAGAATCGCGTTTTAAAATGTTATTTACGGCTTTAGAAAGCGAAAAGTTAATTGAAACAGCTTCAAAGTTTATGATGTCTCAACTATAACCTACGAAAACAATTTTTGGAAACAAATAGCAAAATTTGTATGGTCAAATATGAACCGCACTGGTCAAAGAATGTATCGATAACCTGAGAAAACTCGCCAGGGGTAATAAAATTAGCTTATGGTGGGTTCCAGGTCACAGAGACATTGTGAGTAATGAAAAGTCTGACAAGCTGGTTAAAGAAGCAGCGAGGACGTCTTTCCCTTTATTCTAGGACAGGAGAGAACTCGTAGGTGTCTTGATGCAGTGTCTTGGCACTGACAGCAACAAAAAAAAGTGTAAACAAAAAATATCTACTCTAAATTTGTTATAATTTATTATCTTTATCAGAAAATGCATAGTTTAACACGTTCGTCGCCAAGCATGATTAGGCTGAGTTTTTCACCTGACCCATATCCGGCCGCCGAACGAATCGGCAGAACGTAACTTGTTGTGACACGCACATCAGTGACTTTATCATCCTCAAAATGTTTATTGTAGTAATCATATGCAAGTGAAGACTTTGAGGACATGTTGGAAGAACTTACTATAAGCGAAGAAGAGGAAGTGAACTTTGTTGATAATTCATTAGATAATATCCAGTGGAACAAAATCGCTAACAGGAAACAATCATTTCCGTTCACTGGAAAAGCTGGGCTTCTAATAGATTTTGCTTTCTGATGTTAAAGCAAGTGCTTTCGTTATTCTTACACGAAAAATCGATAATCCTGTTAGTAAAAAAGGTGATATGCAGAGCAAATACTGCATCAACGTGAAATGATTGATTTAATGTGCTATTAAATAGATGGAAACCGGCCACTTCTGAAGAAATTACAAAATTTATCGGACTGATGATTTAAATCTAATACAGACACCGCTCGTTTGCTCACCACAACATTTGCTGAAACGACCTCGACGAAATGATAAAATTGCGGAAACTGATTCAATGCAGGCTAGACGGTTTGAATTTGTTCACTCATGGAAAATGACGTGTCTTCTTTTCTGTACATCATACACGACTGGTGCGTCATAGAAATCACCTATGGATCCGTTAGTCATTTGCGTTGTCGCATCTTACCAATCCTACCTTTATCAGATATGATTGACGAATAAAATAAATCATTCTTAAACTTCTTTCTGGAGTTTTTCAGTATTCAATCTTGGAGATATATGTATTTTTTCTTCTTCCTCTTTATTTGTGATGTTTTTCTGGTTCATCAGGCCTTTTCTGAGGATGCTGAATACGGCATTCCACCTAATATGCCACCTTTTCGACAGGTCTTCTCGAACTCAGTTTCTCACTCTTTTGGCGTATCCGCCCTAGTTTTCGATGTATAAATCAGTA